GTGGGGGAGGTTCAGGAGGTGGACACTTTGGCTGCTGCTTTAGGGTGTGGGACGCAACGCTTCCCTATCTCGTATTTGGGTTTGCCGCTCGGGGACTCGGCCAGAAGGGTGGGAAGTTGAGACCCGATGATTGAGCGGGTCGAGGGAAGATTAGCTGGTTGGAAAAAGCAATATCTTTCCAAGGGCGGTAAAGTTACGTTAGTGAAGAGTACTTTGTCAAGCCTCCCAACGTACTTTCTCTCACTCTTTTGGATTCCAGCCTCTATTGTTGGATGACTTGAGATGCTTCAACGGAACTTCCTTCGGGGGGTCGTGGAGAAGAGTTTAAGTATCATCTTGTCAGATGGGAGCAGGTGTGTAGACCTTTTTAGTTGGGAGGTCTTGGGATTAGGAGGTTAGGCCCTTTCAACAGTGCTCTTCTTGGCAAGTGGCTTTGGAGATTCGGCAGTGAAAGACATAGATTATGGAGAAGGGTTATTTTGTGTCGCTTTGGGGAGGAGAGAGGGAGGTGGTCAGCTAGGCCAGTCAGGTCTGCTAGGGGAGTAGGGGTGTGGAGGGAAAGGGGTGGGATGAGTTCTCCAATAATATTAGATTCAGAGTTCGAGATGGAATTAATGTCCGATTTTGGGAAGACTCCTGGTGCAGGATAGGCCATTAGCTATTTTGTTCCCCAGGCTGTTCAAGATTGCTGTTGACAAACATGCTATGGTTGCCGACTGCTATTGCCTTGATAGCGGGAGGTTGTCGTGGGATGTGCGATTTCGGCGATCTTTTCAAGATTGGGAGTTGGATGATGTCATTGGTTTGTTGGCTCTCCTGTACAGACAGGAGGTGGAAGGCACTGGTGTTGATTCCTTGATTTGGGTGCCTTCTACTCAGGAGATGTTCCAGGTCCGGTCCTTTTTTGTGTGCCTCTGGTTTTCATGGTACCACCTTCCCGTGGAAGACGGTGTGGTTATCTAAGGCGCCTCTTAGGGTGGCCTTTTTTGTGTGGACTGCAGCTTGGAGTAAGATACTGACTTTGGACAACTTGAGGAAGCGAAGACATATCATTGTTAAACGGTGCTGTCTTTGTAAGCTTTAATGAAGAGTTAGTCGATCACCTTCTGTTGCATTGTCCTGTGGCTCATGACTGTTGGAGCCTCATTTTTGGCTTGTTTGGTATTCATTGGGTCATGCCTCGGATTTCTCGGGAGTTGTTGGATTTATGGAGGGGCCAATGGGTGGGGGCTCAAGCGTGTGACTTCTGGAGGGTGACCCCTTTTTGCGTTTGGTGGAGCCTTTGGAAAGAGCGGAATAGAAGATCTTTCGATGGGATGGAGTCCTCCATTGGGGTGCTGAAATTTTCTATTATTTGTACTCTTTTTTGTTGGGGTTGGGGGAGAGATTATTCTTCTCTTGAGGATATTGTGGACCTCTTGGGCTCTTTGAGTTCATAGGTTTCGTTTTGCTTTTTGTTTTTTGTATAGCTTGGGATGCGTTCCCCTTTTGAACGCTTTCTAATACATTTTACTTATAAAAAAAAAAGACCAAGGAGGAAGAAGAGTGGGCTGTTCGTGGGTTAGAACCAGAGCAGTAGGAGGCTTCGATGGCAGCCAAGGATCGCCGGAAAAGCTAGGAAGAAGAAGTTTAGGGTTTCAAACCGAAACCTAAGGCAAGTTCTTCTTTTAACTCTCTCCCTTAGACTTTGTGTTCTATACATGCCTAAGTTAATTCCAGGATTAAATAGACAGTAACTGGACTATGTTTGCATGCTTAACTAAAATAAAAATAGAGTTTATGTGCATGTTTATAATTTTTCTTGATCTTGATTCTTCTTGCATGTAAACTTGTTTAATCATGTGTTATAGATGCATAATGTCTTCATATAATTTATTGGGACTATCTGGGACTTAGAATAGAGGGTTAGGACCCTTAACGAAGGCAACCGGAGCAAACAAAGGCTGCCAGAGACGGAGAAGGAGGAGCAGATCAGGGAGAGAGGCGGCTCCCTCTAGAGAGAGGCGGCTCCCTTTATGAGGGAGCCGGCTCTAGAAAGTAAAAGGGAGGCAGCTCCCTTGCTGGAGATGTGATTTTGGACGTGTTTTGGGTTCTGTTTGGTGGTTTGGGGTGTTTCCAGGGTTGTTTGGATCATAGAATGTGTTTTAAATGATTTAAATAAATTGGATAAATACCTAGAAGGCATAATATAAACTGATATGCTAATGATTTGAACTACATGAAATTTTAATTGAATTTGCATATTGTTAATGAAGGGTTAAATTGCTCCAGTTTGTTCCAGCAATTTTCTATGTATAACTATGTTATTTTAATCATGAGTTAGCAAGTATAATAAGATCATGTTATTATCCAATTTATTTTATTTTGCTTATTCCCGTATTAATTGATGTATTATTTAATTTTATTTCATCAATTATTGGATTGTTAAATTGATGCACCATTATGGGATAGGGGCATTTTAGGGACGGATTAACTAATAAAAGTTAAGTCCTACCTATTCGAATTTGTAAGGGAATGGATTAACTAATAAGTTAAAGTCCTATTTATTTGTGTCAGGCCACCGAATCAGTTGGATGACACATCATTTAAAAATATGGCGGGTATTTATTAGGATAGGATGAATTTTATATATGTATAGATATGTGACATGATATAAGCTTGAGTTTCAGGATCAGTGGTTAGGGGGCGTGTATGCAATGGGATGCATAGCTGGCTAAGATGATTGGTGGTGCATCCTGTTAGGTTTAGGTACCCATGCCCACTTCAGGTGCGTTTTGCATGTTGCCTACTATTTAGGTTGAGACTGCCTTGTAATCCAGTGAGAGTCTCTTAGTGTGTATCGATATATATATATATATATACAGACTACATAGCTATTGCTGAGTTGACTAGGATGTATACGTTTATCGGGTCTCTGTTTGGATTGTAATAGAGTATAACTTATTTGTGGGCCTGACCCACCATTATTTTTCAGGTGTTCGTCAGCTCCAGGCTTAGAGGTTGTTCGTGCTGAGCAAAGACGGTCTTCATCACTCATCTATGTAGGATTCTACTTTCATTTCAGTATTGGATTTTATTACTTCAGCTTTCAGTTCGGATTTTATGTGGGGTCCACATGATGGATTCCCAAGTTGTAATCTAAATAGATTATTGGTATTAGAAGTTTTGGATATTTTATCTTGGAGGATTAATTATTTATTAATTCAAGGATTTATTAGTTAGTTTCTTTCAGCTATTTTATTTATTCTTATTATCATTTGTATTCTGTGCTTACTTTAATTGTTTGGTATCCCTCGGATCTGTACTCGGACTTGATCACCCGTGGCTCTAGAATCAAAAGGTATCACATTTAGAAATTAATATATGTAATACACATCAATATATATGATACAACCCATCTTAAATATATGGATAGTCATTGATAAATTAATTAATTAATATTAGACTATTAATTTTTCTTACAGGAATACTTATTTTTAATTATCCTTATCAGTTAGCATTGTTCTTCACCTTTGTTGTGTCTCCGACAAATTTTATTGACTTGTTTGGACTCCGGTGTATTCGATAGCATTGTTTGTCTTCATCGCCGTGTGTTCGGTGCTATGTGTGCCTTGTTTGGACTGTCACACATAGCATCTCAGAAGGATTTTTGAGATACAATCACTAACTTAAAAATACGATGTCGTTATGTCATCTTCACCCTTTTCTCTGCCCTTCTGTAAAAGCTTATGTTAACCCACTTTCATCATACCATATGCCTCCATCTCACCCTGTTTCTCTCTCAACACTCTCCTGTTGTGTCTATAAAATCGAAGCATACATGGACAGTCTCTATCTGTAAAATCAACACATGAATGGGCAGTCTCTTTATTTTGGATGTGGACATTGAAGCCAAGAAAGTTTGTAGTAATATATGTCCATCCGCCATAACCAAAATCCTAATAAATGCCTCGAAAATTTTGGGTAATCATCGCGTTAATTTATTGTTGTGCATCTTTTGGTATTTACAAATCATGTTTATATATTGACTCTAATATATCACTCATGGACCAAGATATTGATATATTCCTAATATTGGCTTTTTTAAGTATTCCTCCACACTTGTTCAGTTAGTTTAAGGGAAGTATGTTAAAACAACTTTTTCTTGCTTCTAAAAAATGAGTCTTTTCCTGGAGTAGAATTGGTAAAGTGTAAAAGGTAACAAATGTTACCAAATATACTATACTTTTACTATTTGTTTATGTATTTTTAACGATTTAGCATGGAGTTCTTGCTGGTGACAGCTTCCATTATGGTGTGAGAATTCTTGTGGCCAGAGGTTGAGCTAGCCCAACGACCTAAGAGCTGAGATTCATGGTTGCACCTCTTGGGGTCCATGTATAACACAAATTATAAATAATAAAAAAAATAAAACACCAATTATATCACTTGTGCCAAGGCCGGCCTTGAGATTCCAAATATTTTGAGAGGCCCTAGGCAAACTTTCAAATGTGAGGCCCTTAAGTTTCACACACGCAAAAAAAATTATAAGAGTGCGGAATTTTCACACGATGTTTTCAAATTCTATAGCTAATTTAATTGCGCGCATGTGCATTGTGCATAAGACAACTAACTAATAATTATAATCTTCATTCATTAAATCTTCATGTTCATTGACTAACTTCCTATGATCTTCATTCATTAAATCTTCATGTTTATAGAGATTTTCTTCATTTGCTTTCGCATTCATATGTTCTTCATTCACCGAATCTTCAACTAAACTCTCTATTTGTGTATTGCGCCTAAAAAGCTTAAGATTATCTCCTTTTTGAGATTGAATCAATTCTTCTTCTCTCTTCTTTTTTTTTTTTCCTTTTTTCATGCCCAGATTCAAATTTTCTTGTAGACATAATGAAATCTCTTGAAATCTAAATAACAGGAACCATAATCTAACATAAAACTAGACTTCAAAAAAATAATAATAATAATAATTTGCTTTGTTTAAAGAAAATATATATTACCTCAATATGCAATGATTTGATTCAAGTTCAAGGCAAATAACCTCACGAGATCCAAAGAAGAGTGTCCTGCTAGCATGTGAAAGAAGATCACAATTAACATAAAATGGACGGAGAATCAAACAGAAACAATAATAACTAAGCATTGCCGATCATACAATAAATATAATAAATAAAAAAAAATCTAAAATCAAGAAGTTTGGACAAATGATCTACTGGCTGGAGTTTTCACTGGAATCTGGAGGAGAGGAGAGAAGACAAAACAGAGTATCCAAAATACAGTCCAAAAGTGGAAATGGGGAACAGAAAACTGCAGGTTCTTTTTTACATTCATTGTTTATATAGCTGCTAAAATTTGATGACTACAGATGACAAAATTATGTGGAGATGAGGTGACTATATATATAGGAGGCTGAACTTGTAGTGCTTAAGAAGTAGTGGGACTTTTAGGTTATATGTGGCATCCACTATCATATATAGTTTTATATATAGGAGGCTGAACTTGTAGTGCTGAAGAAGTAGTGGGACTTTTAGGTTATATGTGGCATCCACTATCATATATAGTTTTGTCTTTCACTCTTTATATTAACTACACTTTGTGTGTGTGTTTTTGGGAGCCAATTACCACTTTCTTGATTTCAGGATGAGGAATCATCTTTATTAGCAGTGAATGATTGATCATTGCTACAGAAGACCTGTGCAAATTAATAGAAAAAACCATTAACTTTTGTTTTGTTAAAGCCTGCCTTGATTTCCATGTGTTTGTACATTCTGATGGCAAGTGCTTTGACCGTATTATTAACTGAAATTCTAGCTGAGCCAACTTCAAATAACATCAATAATGGTGGTATGCATCTTCATATAAAAATAAAATATAAAAAAACCCTTAATTTGGCACTTTTAAGTATGAGCATAATTTAGAGATCGAAAAAGTTAATTATTACCTCAACGGCTCAACCCAATAGAAGGGATCCTTAATTTTCGTAGGATTGAATGTGAAAATGTAAAAACTTATGAGGAAAAGGGATATGATTGCTGCTGTTGTGAGATTGGAGTGGAATTAGGGAGAGGAAAAAGAAAAAAAAAAAGTGCCTGCCATAGATTATGGACTCGATCGCCATGAAAGACACATGCAGAAAGGCAAACATTTATTAAAATACTAAGAGAACCATAACATATTCATTCAGCTTTTGATAGCCATCACACACAGTGACACACACACAAAAAACCCTAGCTACTTTTCACTATTGGAACAAAGGTAAAGGCCCGAATCAAACGAACCAAAGTTAGAACAAATCAAATGATGAGATGAACGAAAGAAAGAAACATATATAAAAGATCGATTCATGCAAAAGGAGAGAGAAGAGAGAAAGAGGATGAACATACCTTGTCACCTGAGGCGATAGCGGAGGCTGTGCCCTGCGGCGTGTCGAAGCAGATTGTGTCGTCTGAAACTTGCCCTAACTTTATTTTTTTTCCATCCCCTATAGGCCTCAAAATTTGTGGCCCAAGGCGACCAATTTTTTCCATCCTCCATGGGCCTCGTTTTGGGCCTGGGCCAGCCCTGCTAAGGCTCCGTTTTGGGGGCCGTCCCCGGGCCCGGGGGGGGCAATTAAATAGATGGGTAAAGTATTTTATAGTTTTATAAGTGGGTAAAGAATTTTATAAATTAGTATTTATAGAGTATATATAAATAAAGAGAAATAGGTGGATATATATAGAGAGATTAATTTTTGGAATGAGATAAATTAATAAATTACATATATAGAATATAATGAAACAATTTAAGAAAAAAATATTTAAGGAAACATATAGGGTATACAAGAGAAAATATATATATATCTAGTAAGGGAAGGAAAAAATAGGGGGGTAGGGGCCACTATACATTAGTATTTATAGAATATATATAAATAAAGAGAAGTAGGTGGATATATATAGAGATTAATATTTTTGGAATGAGGTAAATTAATAAATTACATATATAGAATATAATGAAACAAGAAAAATTTATTTAAGGAAACATATAGGGTATAGGAAAATATATTCTATATATATAATTTATTAGTTTATCTCATTCAAAAAATATATTAATATTATAATATATATATATATATATATATATATATATATATATATATAGAATAAAGGAAGGAAAAAATCTAGGGGGCGGAACGTGCCCCCTCCCCGATCCTATACTGGCTCCGTCTCTAGCGGTATCATGTGAATTTTACGACCCATTTAATAAACGGGTTTTGCGGGCCGTATCATTTTATATGTTTAAAAATAAATAAAAAATAAGTAACAAGACAAACATGTTAAATCAAGAGAAGTCAAACGTTAGACCTAATACTTTCTGAGATGACCAAGTGATTTACCCACTTGAGCTACCGTTAGATTGATGCTACATATTTCAACTTTTGTGTGCCATCAATCTTGATGATAGGATTTAGGTAGGATTGAAGAGCAAAATGCTAATGCTCAGGATAGTCTTTCTGGCATTGTGTATGCCATCAATTGAGAACAAATAAAATCTAGCATGAGAATGCTTGGCATGGAATGTACCAGGCTGTACTTGCTAATAACCACCACAGATCAACTAACAAACATGTATGTAAATGATATCAAAGTCTGGCCAAAATGTTGATGGTTCAATTCATGTGTTACACAATCTTTCTTGCTACTTCAACTATTCAATGAAAGTACTTTATTAACTGTTTATCCAGAATGTTGAAACCTATTTAAGATCTTCTCAACTCCATGCCAATCATCACAAAGAACATAGTATTTTGCTTCTCAATACACAGCAATGCAGAGTCCCCCATGTTTACGCGAACAATCACACAGCTAGATTTCACAAACTTCCTTTCCCTACCGATTTCCTCGACTTAATTGCAGTATGAATTTCAACAAAAACAATCGTAGAGAAGTAAGCATAAGAAAATCCAACGCCAAACTCTGCAAAGACCGGATAATCCTATTCTGAATCCAAGAGGTACTTGCACGACTAAATTTTACTGAACATTTCAACTAAAATGAATGCACTCTTTACAAATAATGTTACCCAATAAAAGGAAAAGGAAAAGAGAAATACAATTGTTTTCTGCATGTACAACCACAAAAATGGGAGGTGATGCTCACAACAGCAAATCAAAAGCATTTTCCAATGGAACCACTAGTAAATACCATTTTTACACATAAAATAGAGGTCCTTGGGTATGTCTCAGAACATACGGTATCCATCATCATCATCGTTCATCCGAAGATAGCATATTATTGCTGAAACAAATACAAAAAAGGATGAGAGCTCCATAGCCAGGGCTCCCCACCCAATAACGCCGGCGTGCTTTAAGATAATTGGTATAGCAATGCTGCCAATTGCTGAAGCTCCGGTCAAGAACTTAGTAGCATTTATCCAGCTGTTTCAACGGTTGTTTGGAAGTAAGAAGGTTAATATTTAATTCCATAATCAAGACAATCAGAGAGAAAGATATGATTTTATTAGTCAACTTAGAAAAAAATAATCTAACCTATTTCCAGATTCGGAAACAAAAGAAGAGGTATCCAACCCACCAAAGAACAGCAGAGGCATGGGAAGAAGCACATACATTAACGCTGCAAGATGTAAATATAGTGGTATTACCGTCAGAGAATCTATATTATCAAATAAAAATGTTATTCCAATATTATAATTGCCTAAAAGACTAGGGTGCCTACGTTGCCAAAGCAGCACCAGCTGCTATCAGAGCATACAGCTGTAAAGCGTTTGGTAAAATTATCCACAGAAGCACTTGCTTTGGCAACAGCAACATCCGGAAACTACTTTGGACAAATCTCAAATGGATAATTACAATGACCTGCCCTATAAGGGAAATATACACAGACCTCCGCAGCTCTGCTAAGTTCTGAAAGTTTTCACTTAACCCCATCTAGTTTGCACTGTTATAACAAACTGACCCCTGCCGTGAATCTCAATAATAGTCAGACATGGTCAACTCTGAAGTGGCCAAATTCCAGGCTTAAAACGACGAATAGGACCTTGAAATGTCTGTGAAGTCATTTTTACCCTCTCACTAACACCTATTTTTCTCTTACATGCCCTCTCTCTCTGTCTCTCTCTAAAACTCCTTCCTATCTCCAAGTCATGAACATACTAGAGATTTTCTTGATCAATACATCAAATATCACACAATCATCCACGAACAAGCAAAATATTTTATTGCTCAATACAAATCTAAAAAATTAACGATAAAGAAAAAATAAATAAATAAAAAGAAATCTAAGGGCTTTAATGGTGGGGTGTGTTAGAGAGATACCCACATCCTTCACTGTGTATACATTCATACATGTATATATATGAGAGTGTGTGTGTTTGTGTGCGTGTCTAGAATTTCATCTCCCTCAACAAATACATGCATAATACATATATTGAAGTTTATACATTAAGAATTAAGCCCATATCCTTCACTATTGTATACATATTTGTGTGTAATTGTGTATATATAGAATTGGGTTTCTTTCTCTACAACTACATGCATAAATATATATATACATATATATATATATAGAACTATATTAAGACTTGAAAACCAAATATATTACAATTAGGTCTCTCTCTACAAATACATCTCTTTCTTCTCCGGTCATATAACTAAACAATCTATTTTATTAGATAATAAAAAGCAACTCAGCATGATTAATCATCTCCATAGGTATTAGGCATACAAAAGCGTGTTAAAAACAAAATTTTGAAAAGTCATGATATATTCAATCAGTTCGAGCTTGGGTATACTCAGAGAAGTCAAGACCTATCCAAGCCTCACATCTAGCATTTGAGAACTCAATTGAGAAATGTTTGCCTTCAAGTATTAACTCGAATAAATAAATAAAGAATTTCACATGAAGAAAAAAGCTTGATTTACGACCAGCAGGAAATCTACATTCTGTCTTATAAAGAATGTGGAACAATAGAAATACCCGGCCAGAATACTGTACCAGCACTCCATGCTGAGATGAATATGACGGGATTTTGATGAAAACATTTCTGCAAGCATTATTAGAAAACAATCATCTATTTTTATTCTTTAAACTTAATATATGATTCCTGGTCTATATAGAGTATATTTTGTCGATAAAACTATTAGATCTTGAATCTAATTGTTTCAACAATCCAAAATAGTAGAAGAGTCGTATCAACACTCTTGAATTGCTTTCTTAAAAGAACTTTATAAAAGCTTGAATCAATAAGCGTGAAAATGCAAGTTCAAGTCTGCAGCCACTTGTCTTAATATTCCGCTCCCAGCACCTTGTGTAGTGTAGGTGGGACATACACCTTTTGGTGCCCTTTTGACTTAACTAAACCTCGGTGTACTAGTAAAAGACATGGTATACTAGTTTATTTTTGTGTAACAAGAATTCAGAAACCAAGTAATAAAGTAACTATATTGAAGACACAGAAATTTAAAGGCCACTACTAAAGGAGTACCTTTTCATAAAATGATAAATAATAACAAAAGAGACTCAAAATGGCATTTTAACCTAAAAACAAGCATCAACCTACCTGTTAGCGTCACCAATTATCGTACAAAGCACATGCCTGCCACATCATGCGAGGAAAAGTAAGAAATTAATAATGCCTTTGGCAGCACAAAAGTATTCCAAAGGAATTAACAGAGAAGAATAAAACTCACCAAAACTTGCAGCACAATCCCACTAGAGACCAAAATTGCCAAGGAAGCAAGTTTCCCGGTCTCAAAGCAGGCTTTCACATGACGTGGTAAGTCTGCCATTGTCAAACTCGCCTCAGCTCATAAAGGGAAAGACTGAAATGCAGATATTATTGGGTTACATATATAACAATAACAAGACCGACAATAATCACTAGATAATGACACAAGACAGACAGATATGCAGAAAAGATGGCACAAGAAAAGAAGTCATATAACAAATGCTTGGAGGATATTTCAGGAAGTTTCTGGAAGAGTAAGATTCATTTATTAAATTGTTAATCTATTACAAGCAATTGTAACTCCACTTGTCCCATATTTATGATCTTATGTTTTACACAGCTAGTCCTAGGTTCGCAGAAGGGAGATGGGTCTGCAAGGTTCCCACCCAGCACAAACAATTTTACAAGTCATTGGATGTAAACAGTACTAATTTTATAGCACATAATTAAATTTTTTTTTTCTATAAACAGCACTAATTGATTGGGGTAAGCTTAGTATACTTATAGTCACAGAATGGAAATGTGGGTGAATGAAGTTCAAAATCCAAAGGACGGAGAGAGAGAGAGAATATCCATATCCCAAAAGGGTAGAAAAGGTACAGTGTAGCAAGATATGGTGTCAAGAAAGAAAAAAGAAGCAGCAACTGAAATAAAATCCAGTTCCTAATTTTAAGATCACTTTCTGTCATCGCAATTGTTCAAAGGATAACAGAGATAAACTTAGATGTAAGTGACCATTGCCACAGACACTTATGACAAGGTGAATGATTAAATTGATTT